AGCATTTCTATTTTCTGTGTTTCTCATAGCCCGACCGACCCTTCTAATTTTATTGCCGACCCCCCAACAAACGTTTTTTTTCATTCCAACACCGCCGACTCGAACCTAAAACGTACCGCTTCGTCATTTAAAATGTTTATCTTTTAATCAGTCGCTCCCACAAGTCCAAAGAATGCGAGAAATTGTAATAAGAAGTACAATAAATGAATAAATAAGAATCAAGAACATTATTCAGATAATTCTGTCTATATTAATTTTTTTCCCCGACCGACCGACCCATGTTCAGAATTTGGTGGCTACGTGAAACACATAAAAAAATTTGCCCTGAGCGGGTGCACGCGTACGGGTGGCCAGTCGTCTCAAACACGGAAAAACGCTGAGCAGAGTTGCCTCCCTTGGTGGTGACGGATATCGTCACGCCGAACACCGTGGTCCGATCTACAACCATGTGAAGGCGTGACATCTGATGCATCACTAAAAGCGGCGTAAAATTACACTGAATCATTTCTGTTTTAGTGGCATTGTCACTAAATGTATATTAACGGTTTTATTACACTGTTGACTGGCTCAGCTATGTTTCTTTCATATAAACCCCATTTAGTATATATGCTAATGGTCCTATAGTGCTGCATTAAGGCCGCTCAAAAGAAACACATTAACCATACAACCTGGTAGCAATCACAAATTGACAATAAATAGACCTTTTCCGTTTGAACAATTGTCCCATAATTAACTGCCATATAAACCTCTTTCGTAGTATTTGCTATAGCATGTCTGTAAACCTCTTGCCGCTTTCACACTGAAGGGATGATGCATATTTCAAATTGTATGTTTTGACTAGATTAACACGCATTGTGCAATTCAACTTGCCAATCGATGACAGTGAAATACTCCAACGTTTGTACAATATGGGGGCGGTAGGGTAGCCTTTTGGTTAAAGCATTTGCTCATCATGCCGAATGCCCGGGTTCGATTCCCTACATGGGTACAACGCGTGAATCAAATTTCTGGTGTCCCCCGCCGTGATATCGCTGGAATATATATCTAAAAGCGGCGTAAAATCCAACTCTTTTAATCACCCATTGTAATTAAAGAGTTCGATATTAGCGCTGGATCGATTTCTGGGATATTTCAATGTTTCGTTTGTTTGACAATGGTGTATTCATTTGCAAAATGTACCCGTAGACACTGATGAATATCTCCCTTATCTTAAGCACATTAAATAATAATACGTAGTTAATTAACATCGGGGTCTCTGTATACACGAGAGGTCGGTGGCTCCATGTGCCTTTATTGTGTTGAAATCATATTTTTTCTCGTTCTGAATGTTTTTGTATTGGTTTCCTTCGTAGCAGAGCCATTTCTGGCTATTTGAATAACTTATACATGTAGGTTCTACTACACTAAATGAGAATCTGCCTCTCCCTGACCTAGTTTCGTTAAGATACGTCCGTTCTGATGGAGGCATGTGACAGCTTAGCCTGGTTCCCGGGGTCTGCTGCGCTAACGCTTCGACACTGACCCCGGCAATCACTACCGAATGGCGGCCATCAGTGCTGGGCGACACGCCATATATTTACTATAGCAAAATCCGAGAACGGGTGCACGTGGTTAGAATGTTTTCATAGCATTATCATTGATAACATGGCAAAGTATACGTCACCAGAACAACGCCCATCGTTACTTTTAGTGTACGAAAACGTGATTTAAGCAGTTTCGAGACACGAAAATCTTCGTTACATGGGCGATATGTAAACAATGACAGACACCCTATTTTCAACACCGACATGTGCGTTGATATTTCGTGTCAGCTCGCTTTTGTCACGAAATATTATACATGACACATGGATCTGAACGACCACATTGACTAAATATAGTTCATCTGTATTTTAGCAAATTTGATGACGTATAATTCAATTGATTTGATCCCAGTTTGTCCTGTTGTATGCTTGAAGTAAACTGAAGGCCCACTATAATAGACAATAGTAACTAGATAATGGTTAAAATGGAAAAAATATAACATATAACTGAATTATTCAACCATGTGTTATTAACAATGTATGTGCTTTCAATAATGGAATAATAATAAAGAAGAATATATTTATTACTTTTATTCATTTGGCATATATCATTTCAATATAACATCCGTGTGTATTCCTCCATTTTGCATCGGGTTCATCATGGTGATGCATTCAACATTGATCTTAACCAGCATAACAATAGTCACTGTATGGAAGCGTCTGTGTGATGCTACAGAGAGGTTGATTACACATCGGACCATTAGCGTGTTATCTACTGATTATGGAAAATCACACGACTATGATACATATAAAACTGGATGTACCCGATATCCTCCCCACTCCAATCACAGATATAGCTACAGTTTTCTATGTAATAGGAAAACGGACACATTGTGAAATATTAATAAGTGTGTGTAAGTGTGTATTTCAGCTTGTTCTGAAAGATCCCACGCATAAAAAGGAAAGTGTGTGCTGTCTGAAACATACACATAACACACACTCTCTCCGGTGTTAAAAACATGTTTAGTAAAAAAAAGTTATTAAATATTTCATAATTATGTGTCCATATTACATAAGAAACTATATCTATATCTGGGGTTGGAGTGAGGTGGTGAATGGGGTACATTCAGTTGGGAACCTGTTGGTATTAAATTAACAATAGACAGACAGACAAACCAGTAAAGAGACCAAAGCCCCATAATACAGACAATGTTTGATTGCATGAAACACACATACGAGTAAAGTAATTAATTAAGTTTCCCTCAGGTGTTGGACTTTATATAAATATAGACATGAGTTATATACAGCATCAAAGTTTTCAGTGGAAAGAATTTCGATAAAAAATGTTTGTGAGTTCTTATAATATTTATCTGTTTGGGTTAGAGGATTTACAAGTTTCAAGTCGATCCAGTGGTTTCAAAATGCCTTTTAATCTCAAGTTACCTACTTTGAATAAATGAATAAATAAATAAATAAATAAATAAATAAAAAGCACACACGTATATAAAATTTGTTCCATATTCTCACCTTTGTTGGACTAGTCAACAATAACGAACGATCGATCAGTAGCTTAATAGGTTGTGTGTTTTATGTACCTTAATGTGTCCCGGTGGGAAAATCGGTACATCATAATAGAATAGATTGGTACCGACATCAGTACATCATATTAGACGCACAAGTCAATGCAATTAGTGTACATATATATCCCCATCATGTCTCTTTTGTATTCTTTTTATTACTGTTGTTTTCGTGTTTTATGGGTCTCGTTTCCAGATCAGCGCAAAGACCTTCAAGAAGGACATCAATGGACCATTTTATGTGATGGTGTAGTCGAGAGGATGATGAATCCGCTGAAACAACTTTGTTTGTCCTGTCTGATTTGTTGAAATGTCAATTTCGGATTTGATTCCGTGTAAACACATATCTGCGTTATGTGAATTTCGAGTGATTTGTGAGTGGCAGTGGGGTAGGCTAGTTGTTAAAGTGTTCGCTCATCACGCCGAACGCCCGGGTTCGAATCCCCACATGGGTACAATGTGTGGAGCACCGCACCGTCGCTGTAGTCTACAATGTGTTTGCATGGGTTTGTACATTAGTTGCTACGTACCACCGCTGTAACCTGACAATAGGCTGGCGTGTCTCTTGCGTTTAAGGAGCCTAGTGGTTAAAGCGTTGACTCGTAACGCCAAAGGCCCAGGTTCGATTCCCCACATGGGTTCAATGCGTGAAGCCCTTTTCTGGTGTCCACCGCCGTGATATTGCTGGAATCTTGCTAAAGGCGGCGTAAAACCCGATTCACCCATTCGCATAGTTATTTTGTATCAGAATGGAGATCTTGATACTCTTGATAAATAAAAGCGACAAATTCTATTCTTCTGAAAGGGTATTATTTGCGATTCCGACTCTATTATAAGCAGTCCTCTGCCCGATCGCGACCAACAATAGGGCCATCGGGGTAGACTGGCATAAACAATGACGAGACTGTTACAGGCTCTACAACAGACTCTCCAACTGAGGTTTCAACACAATAAACACATAAATAACATTAATATTTTACAACGTGTATGTAATCTGTACATAATAATGTCAAAAAGAGTGCTTCAAAACCCTAGGTATGCACTTACTGTGGCTATCGATAATCTAATTCGTATTCCAGTTTGATTCAGAGTCAAACATTGAATGCTTGATCGCAAGGATTGAAAAGTTGCAGCTCAGGAAATGGACACCACTTTGCCCACAAGGCTAGATCGAAAATCGAAATCGAATGGTTTCCATCTTGTCACAGCAGTGGACACCAAGAATGGTTAAAAAAATGTACTCATATTGAGGATCGAACTCGGATCTCTGGTGTGATGACCAAACACTTTAACTAGGAGGCTATCTTGTCAGTGTCCCTGTTTTCAGACTAACGCCCACAAAATGAATATGCATCAACCTTTCCTTGCTTGCCAACATAATGCTACCCAGACTCAGAGTTAAGTTTTTAGCCCAGGGCATGTCTGGTTGAGACGTCTTAAAGTGTTCAATCTTAACACTTATTTTTCCAATACAGAGCAGATGTAACGTTTCCCATTAGATGCTCTGAAACATTAAGTGTTTTTTCAGTATTGGTGCAGCAAGTATTTGTCATTACCGATCTTTATTACCTAATGAATAATAAATCTATAATTGATTGACAAATGTGATATTAGTTCATTCGCCTTTTCTATAACATAAAACCCTTTTGTCTCGATGAATTATTTCTGATCGATAAATGAACAATATGAGTTTATGGATTCCAATTCATTTCAATACACAAATAAGAAGTACAAAGGGTCTCGTTTTTGAGCCTTGGTATCTCCAAACACGCTGAGTATAGAAGAACTAGGTGAATACACCAATTCAGCAATGCTTCATTTACAATCAATGCGGTGACCATGTCTGTCAGAACCTAGCTTAATCAACATCCGCATTATTGATCAGTCGTCATTCAAACAGTCGCTAATTTTTAAGTCTGATGTGTGAGTGTGGGGACTACAGGTAGGGCTGCACATACTTATCCTAGTCGGGAACACTGCCATTACCAATTGTTCTCGCCCCTTTTACCCTTGAGGTCAATGGAATATGTTACAGCTGATTATCGAGGCAGGTTTTGCTCTGGCGTTGAAGTTCTGCATTCATTGAAGTAGGGCAGTTTGGATGATGTCCATGTCAACGTACCGAAAATGTAGCTTCTTTGGGAAGTTGGTTTCTTCAGGTCAAGGAATTTAGTTTCTTCAGGTCAAGGAAGTTAGTTTCTTCATGTTTTTTCAGGTCAAGGAAGTTAGCTTCTTCAGATCAAGGAAGTTAGTTTCTTCTGGTCAAGGAAGTTGGTGTGTTCAGGTCAAGGAAGTTAATTTCTTCAGGTCAAGGAAGTACCTGTATCCATGCTGACACTGGATTCTGATGCCATGCCGGATGAAAACCTTCCGAATGACTACCTGACAGTGTTAGGACTGTGACTATTGATTGTTTGTGGTGGCCACATTACTGAGGTTGTAAACTCAGTCAAGCGTTCTCCCACCTCACGGTATCTGTGGAGCACACTGTACCATGGAGTCATGGAGGATGAGTGTTGTGATGTCCGCTGTGTGTGCATACATACCTCTGGTACTATCATGGACGGTCAAGATGGGTGAGTTGCATGTATTTTCCTTTGTAATTGAAATACGATATATTGCATACTTTGAGCTCTGACTTTATTTTGTGTTTGCGACATGTGTACTACGCAGCCTAAATTTTATGTTAACATTGCTATCATTCTTCTTCTTCCACAATAGTAGTGATGCCATCCAAGATTTTTTATGTTGGTATTCTTCCACAATAGTAGTGATGCCATCCCAGATTGTTTATGTTGGTATTATTCCACAATAGAAGTGATGGCATCCCAGATTGTTACTGTTGGTATTATTTCACAGTAGAAGTGATGCCATCCGAGATTGTTATTGTTGGTATTCTTCCACAATAGTAGTGATGCCATCCCAGATTGTTTATGTTGGTATTCTTCCACAATAGTAGTGATGCCATCCCAGATTGTTTATGTTGGTATTCTTCCACAATAGTAGTGATGCCATCCCAGATTGTTATTGTTGGTATTCTTCCACAATAGAAGTGATGCCATCCCAGATTGTTATTGTTGGTATTCTTCCACAATAGAGTGATGCCATCCCAGATTGTTATGCCATCCCAGATGATGCCATCCCAGATTGTTATTGTTGGTATTCTTCCACAAATAGTAGTGATGCCATCCCAGATTGTTATTGTTGGTATTCTTCCACAATAGTAGTGATGCCATCCAAGATTGTTATTGTTGGTATTCTTCCACAGTAGAGGTGATACCATCCCAGATTGTTATTGTTGGTTTTCTTCCACAATAGTAGTGATGCCATCCCAGATTGTTATTGTTGGTATTCTTCCACAGTAGAGGTGATGCCATCCCAGATTGTTTATGTTGGTATTCTTCCACAATAGTAGTGATGCCATCCCAGATTGTTATTGTTGGTATTCTTCCACAATAGAGGTGATGCCATCCCAGATTGTTATTGTTGGTATTCTTCCACAATAGAAGTGATGCCATCCCAGTGATGCCATCCCAGATTGTTATTGTTGGTATTCTTCCACAATGGTAGTGATGCCATCCCAGTGATGCCATCCCAGATTGTTATTGTTGGTATTCTTCCACAGATGAGAAGTGATGCCATCCCAGATTGTTATTGTTGGTATTCTTCCACAATAGTAGTGATGCCATCCCAGATTGTTATTATTGGTATTGAGTGATTCCCAGATCCACAATAGTAGTGATGCCATCCCAGATTGTTTATTGTTGGTATTCTTCCACAATAGAAGTGATGCCATCCCAGATTGTTATTGTTGGTATTCTTCCACAATAGTAGTGATGCCATCCCAGATTGTTTATGTTGGTATTCTTCCACAATAGTAGTGATGCCATCCCAGATTGTTATTGTTGGTATTCTTCCACAATAGTAGTGATGCCATCCCAGATTGTTATTGTTGGTATTCTTCCACAATAGTAGTGATGCCATCCCAGATTGTTTATTGTTGGTATTCTTCCACAATAGTAGTGATGCCATCCCAGATTGTTATTGTTGGTATTCTTCCACAATAGTAGTGATGCCATCCCAGATTGTTATTGTTGGTATTCTTCCACAATAGTGATGCCATCCCAGATGCTATCCCATGATGCCATCCCAGATTGTTATTGTTGGTATTCTTCCACAATAGTAGTGATGCCATCCCAGATTGTTATTGTTGGTATTCTTCCACAATAGTAGTGATGCCATCCCAGATTGTTTATGTTGGTATTCTTCCACAATAGAGGTGATGCCATCCCAGATTGTTATGTTGGTATTCTTCCACAATAGTAGTGATGCCATCCCAGATTGTTATTGTTGGTATTCTTCCACAATAGTAGTGATGCCATCCCAGATTGTTATTGTTGGTATTCTTCCACAATAGAGTGATGTCCCAGATTGTTATTGTTGATGCCACAATAGTCCCAGATTGTTATTGTTGGTATTCTTCCACAATAGAGGTGATGCCATCCCAGATTGTTATTGTTGGTATTCTTCCACAATAGAAGTGATGCCATCCCAGATTGTGATGCCATCCCATTGTTATTGTTGGTATTCTTCTTCCACAGTAGTAGTGATGCCATCCCAGATTGTTATTGTTGGTATTCTTCCACAATAGAAGTGATGCCATCCCAGATTGTTATTGTTGGTATTCTTCCACAATAGTAGTGATGCCATCCCAGATTGTTTATGTTGGTATTCTTCCACAATAGTAGTGATGCCATCCCAGATTGTTATTGTTGGTATTCTTCCACAATAGAAGTGATGCCATCCCAGATTGTTATTGTTGGTATTCTTCCACAATAGTAGTGATGCCATCCCAGATTGTTATTGTTGGTATTCTTCCACAATAGTAGTGATGCCATCCCAGATTGTTTATGTTGGTATTCTTCCACAATAGTAGTGATGCCATCCCAGATTGTTTATGTTGGTATTCTTCCACAATAGTAGTGATGCCATCCCAGATTGTTATTGTTGGTATTCTTCCACAATAGAGTGATGCCATCCCAGATTGTTATTGTTGGTATTCTTCCACAATAGTAGTGATGCCATCCCAGATTGTTATTGTTGGTATTCTTCCACAATAGTAGTGATGCCATCCCAGATTGTTATTGTTGGTATTCTTCCACAATAGTAGTGATGCCATCCCAGATTGTTATTGTTGGTATTCTTCCACAATAGTAGTGATGCCATCCCAGATTGTTATTGTTGGTATTCTTCCACAATAGTAGTGATGCCATCCCAGATTGTTATTGTTGGTATTCTTCCACAATAGTAGTGATGCCATCCCAGATTGTTTATGTTGGTATTCTTCCACAATAGTAGTGATGCCATCCCAGATTGTTTATTGTTGGTATTCTTCCACAATAGTAGTGATGCCATCCCAGATTGTTATTGTTGGTATTCTTCCACAATAGTAGTGATGCCATCCCAGATTGTTTATGTTGGTATTCTTCCACAATAGTAGTGATGCCATCCCAGATTGTTATTGTTGGTATTCTTCCACAGTAGAGGTGATGCCATCCCAGATTGTTATTGTTGGTATTCTTCCACAATAGTAGTGATGCCATCCCAGATTGTTATTGTTGGTATTCTTCCACAATAGTAGTGATGCCATCCCAGATTGTTTATGTTGGTATTCTTCCACAATAGTAGTGATGCCATCCCAGATTGTTGTTGGTATTCTTCCACAATAGTAGTTGGTATTTGGTCCACAATAGTAGTGATGCCATCCCAGATTGTTATTGTTGGTATTATTCTGTAGTGATGCCATCCCAGATTGTTTTGTTGGTATTCTTCCACAATAGTAGTGATGCCATCCCAGATTGTTATTGTTGGTATTCTTCCACAATAGTAGTGATGCCATCCCAGATTGTTATTGTTGGTATTCTTCCACAATAGTAGTGATGCCATCCCAGATTGTTATTGTTGGTATTCTTCCACAATAGTAGTGATGCCATCCCAGATTGTTTATGTTGGTATTCTTCCACAATAGTAGTGATGCCATCCCAGATTGTTTATGTTGGTATTCTTCCACAATAGAAGTGATGCCATCCCAGATTGTTATTGTTGGTATTCTTCCACAATGATAGTGATGCCATCCAAGATTGTTTATGTTGGTATTCTTCCACAATAGAAGTGATGTCCTCCCAGATTGTTATGTTGGTATTCTTCCACAATAGTAGTGATGCCATCCCAGATTGTTTATGTTGGTATTCTTCCACAATAGTATGCTGATGCCATCACAGATTGTTATTGATTGTTTTTGTTGGTATTTTTCCACAATAGTAGTGATGCCATCCCAGATTGTTATTGTTGGTATTCTTCCACAGTAGAGGTGATGCCATCCCAGATTGTTTATGTTTGTATTCTTCCACAATAGTAGTGATGCCATCCCATATTGTTTATGTTGGTATTCTTCCACAATAGTAGTGATGCCATCCCAGATTGTTTTTGTTGGTATTCTTCCACAATAGTAGTGATGCCATCCCAGATTGTTTATGTTGGTATTCTTCCACAATAGTAAGTGATGCCATCCCAGATTGTTTTGTTGGTATTCTTCCACAATAGTAGTGATGCCATCCCAGATTGTTATTGTTGGTATTCTTCCACAATAGTAGTGATGCCATCCCAGATTGTTTATGTTGGTATTCTTCCACAATAGTTGGTATTCTTCCACAATAGTAGTGATGCCATCCCATGCCATCCCAGATTGTTGATGTTCAGATTGTTATTTCTTCCACAATAGTAGTGATGCCATCCAAGATTGTTTATTGTTGGTATTTGGTATTCTTCCACAATAGTAGTGATGCCATCCCAGATTGTTATTGTTGGTATTCTTCCACAATAGTAGTGATGCCATCCCAGATTGTTATTGTTGGTATTCTTCCACAATAGTAGTGATGCCATCCCAGATTGTTTATGTTGGTATTCTTCCACAATATTCTAAACCCATGATGCCATCCCAGATTGTTATTCCATTGGTATTCTTCCACAATAGTAGTGATGCCATCCCAGATTGTTATTGTTGGTATTCAGCTTTGTTTCAAAGTGTATAGAGGCATGTCAGGAAAGTTAGACTGCCGTTATGTGTCGTTCCAGAATTGAAACAATAAGCTACCCGGAACTCTGTACATTTAATAATTCTAAGTGAAACTAACAAAAGACAGCCATACAATAGACATTTGTATTATGAAATTAATTAGGTGCACAAATCAATACCCATAACTGCCAAACAATCTCCATGGCATTTCAAAATAGAATGGAAGTACAAAATCAAATGGCAATGAAATTACAAAGGTAAACTGATGAATGTATAAAAGTGGTAAAATGCAATAAAATAAGTGATAATAATATTCACGTAGCAGTAACAGTGGGCTACCTTCTGAAACAGGCCTTGGTAGGATGTTCAGGGTGAAATTACGACCTTCACTGTTGGTGTTTATGTAATGTGAAATGACAGAGACACTTTACACACACATGAGTTTCAAAAGCAATTTGTTCCTGGTGGGGTGGCCTAGTGGTTAAAGCGGTAGCTCGTCAC